ATTTCAATTTATGTAAATATGACTGGTAAAATTTCATTTTTTCTGAAAAGGTGGTGTCCATTTACTTGTGACCACGCTGTGTATATATTTAATTTTATGAAACTGTTGGTATTATCGATACTTCGTATGAGATTAAAGTCGTGGCTGTGGTTACTTTATTGGTTGATGTGAAAGTGTGTGTGTGTTATCAATGCTTCATATATTTTTGTTTTTTCTTTCACTTCGTAGCTCAGTGTTTTAAATTAATGACATTTCTCCGAACCAGGTGAGAAAAACTTATCGCAAATGACGAAATTAGCGAGTGCTAAGGCGATCTCTACATCAACAACAATATTTATTGGAAGTTCCCACGCAGTAGTGTTTTTTTATTGTATTCGATAAAAGTGGGTTTGAAATGTGGATATAATAGAAAGTGTGTCTAATGTTCACTTTGTTTATGATCAAACTCTTAAGTAAGCTTACAAAACAAAGATTTATAATTTGTTTAAAGCACCGTAAAATTAAGGGTTTAGTATTCTATATTTTAATGTACTGTATTTATCTTTTACTTTTATAAATATTAATTACTGCTTCTTTTTTATGTATTAATTAGACAAATATTTTGCAATTACAAAGATAAGAGTATTTATGTTTTTCAGCACAAAGCCATACTCTGTTTACCGCAGGGAATCGGACCCTGGATCGTAGCGTTGTAAGTCCGTAAATTTATCGCTGACCCAGCGGGGGGCATAAATATGAGAAAACATTCTGAACTAATATTTATTTTTTGAGATAACACGAGTTTTTAAAATCCAGATAAGTTATCTCGTCACTATACTATAATAAAATGAGCGAATGGAAGTTTTTTTGAAATGTCAGGATGTTATTGGCTGTCGCATACATGGACATTCCACTTAAAATAACAAACGTAAGTGAAAATTATTCTTACTGACAAGAGTTAAAAACAATTGTTTACACATAAATTCACGGGATAAGCTTAACAGTGACGAGAATGAGCATCAGTCATGAGGTGATGTTATGATAATAAACATGTATTGTGGGAGGTGTGTATGCATAAATACATAGTTTTGATTTTAAGGTAACCAATTGAGGCGAAAATCAGGAGCAAAGTCTAATGTTTCTCTAGATGACCTAGACTTTTGTATTTTGTTTATAAGAGTGTATTTTCGTGCTCTGCACGCAATGATCACAACGAACAAACACGTCCTAGATTAAAGTTCGAATCCCACTTAGTCTCAGTGTGGTCCTGATTTAATCAGAAGTATCGCACAAAAAAAAGAAGCGATTGTCTCTTGAGCAGCATACACATGATAAACTTTTTCATCTTGAAAAAAAAATGGCGACATTGTAAACTTATTCTTTGGTTCGGTCTAAGTCTTTCGTTTATATGTGATTCTGTATATTCAACTCATTACAGTTGTATGTTTATCACTTTATCAGTGTTGACCATACTGAGCTTTATTACTGCAACACGTTTCTCAATGTTTACTATTTTAAGCTTGATTACTACAACACGCTTCTAAATGTTTATCATTTTGAGCTTGATTACTACAACATGTTTCTCAGGTCTTCCATTTTGAGCTTTATTACTGCAACGCGTTTCTCAGGTCTTCCATTTTGAGCTTTATTACTGCAACACGTTTCTCAGGTCTTCCATTTTGAGCTTTATTACTGCAACACGTTTCTCAGGTCTTCCATTTTGAGCTTTATTACTGCAACAAGTTTCTCA